TAGCGATATTGAGGGACCAATCTCAATATTGCGGGGGTTCCCAACACTAGCAAGTGCAAGTCAATGAATGAGTTTCTCTAACCAGGTCAAGTATGCTTGACTAATAGCACTTAGGAATTCCGTCCTTATGCCCATCTGGTCAAGTGCACACGCGAGGACCAGTTTCTCAACTAGCTTAGGCGGAGACTGATAACGGGTCCAGCAATACTGACCTCCTGCCATCGTGGCAGTAAGGTAAGAATATCCGAAAGGACTAGCTGACAGATAACTTTCGATACCCGAAGTCACATTCGCGACACATAGCCCCTGAACAAACAAATAGAGATATTGGGCACTCTTGATCAATTCAAAGAAACTAATCATTAAAAGCTTGCTAGGTGATGTACAATCTGCTAATAGAGAGAGACAGGTCAACAAAAGGAGTCATTAAGAATAAAGCTTTAAAATATACTAGTACACTAAAGAATATTTTCTTAATGTTTTAGTGGCAATATTTTTATTAAAGAGGCATTTTTAAAAAATAGTAATTTAAAAAAAATTTAAATATGAGTAGCAATATTTCCTAATTAATAGAGGTTTTGCCTTGTCACCTAATTTACAGAATGTAAGGTCCAAGTGTATAACTACAATGCCATATACTAATATTAGCGTAATGGGATTTTAGTAGCTGTCAGATTAGTTTCAATTTGGACCACTCGCTCCTGTATATAAATTATAGTTTTTGGGATAATTGAGATATATATTTTCTATATTCTCTTTCCATATTCTATGCACTCATATTGGTAGAGATAAAGAGCACCTTTGATTGTCCTTGAAGAGTGTTTAGATTTGGGATTATAGTTTAAATTTTTGTATTGTTTAGATTTAACTTTTTCCATTTACTTTCTTTTGTTCTTTCCTTTTTTAGGATTTTTGTTTCGATTTAGTTTTTGCATTGTTCAGATCTCCCTTTCCTTTTAGCTATTTTTTTCATTTATCTTCTTTTGCTTTTTTATTTTCATTCATCTTTATGGTAGATTAACAGTCTCCTCCGTTGACTCTGGAGCAGCAATTGGTGCAATTGTTTGATGCTATGCGATTGTGATTGGATAACCAAACTCAATTGATGGTGGCATTCATGGCACGTGGTATAGCTCCTCCTACCTTTGGTGCCAATATTCGTGTTCGGCCAGAGTTCTTTTGTGGGAATCTTTGGGATAATGTGTACTATTGGTTCGATCATTTCACAATAATTGCCACATATCATTTCTGGGATGATGTTTGACATTTGCGTGAGTTTCCCACATGTCTCCAAGGGACGGCATTGCAATGGTACAATGGTCTGAGGGCAACCACTCGTGGGAATTGGAATGTTCTTCCAGATGTCTTCAAATGCACATTCGAACATGGCAATAATTATGATGATGCCTTCTAACAATTGCATCATCTTTGTCAAGGGCCATCTAAGTTAGTAATGGAATTTGGCGTTTGTTTCCGAAGCCTTTTGCTTCGTGCGGGGTCAAATATATTAAAGCGGATCAAGCTAGGAATGTTGTGGCCAATACTTCGTCAAGATGTTGTCGGACTTGTGCATGCACTTGCTCTAGCCACCCTTGATGATGCTCTTCACTTTGCACAACATTATAAGATGTCACCTCTTTCACTTCTCACTGCATGTCCTTCAACTTCACTTCATGTGAATAATGGTCATGTTCCAATTGAGGTTGATGCTACTGTTGCTTAAGTCCAAGGACAAGGGCAAGGACATGGTCATGGCCATGATATTTGTTGTTGAGCATGTGATGAAGTTGGTCACACTTATCAGTGTTGTCAGTGTTTTCCAGATTGGCAGCCACCATTTCTTGGGTGGAGACCTTGGCATCAACAATGTTTTGTTGGTGCTACTGTAGTGGAAGGTTTGGATACTGAGATGCATCCGGGAAATGAGGAGTCACATAATTAATAATAAAAGGACCTTGCGCAAATAAGTTAGTGACCCTTCCATATTTCTTTCAGGAGTATCATCATAGGGTTCATTTGGCACCAGTTCATCCAGTGTTTACTTTCCAAGCTTATTTTTATAACAAGTGGTCTCCTATTATTCTCTCTGTCTTCTATTGCTCGACTTAATGCCACATGTTGCCGTCTACACTTGTGCTATGCGATGGAGCCAATTTTCATTCTTTATAGCAACAGTTATATATATGCATGTGCACGGGATGAGGTGGACCTAATTGTGTATGTAGGTGATCTCGAGTTTGGGTTGCAGTCATTGCGGGTGGTGTCAAGTCAAGCTTTTGACCTCATCTTTGGTATGGATTGGTTGCAATGCAATCATGCCAAATATGACTTTAAGGCTTCTCCCTTTTGTCTTATACTTTCTTATATTTCATCCATTCCTCTCACTTCCATACCTTTTTCTCCCTTTGCTTCTACCTCTACGTCCATTACTTTTGTTGCCCTATTACTTCCTTCTATGTTTCCGTGTTATTTTGCTCTTCCCTTTTTCAATTCCTCCAACTGTTTTTGTGTTGTAGTAGTTGATCGGCTGTCACAAATGCGACTTTGGGTATAAAAAGTTACCTGTCAACTATCCTTTGAGACATTCTCAATATCACCTTGAAGACGCCTTATATTGCCTTATATTCTTAATATTGCTTTGAAAACGGCCTTTTTTATTTTGTGGGGATGGATATTGATGATCATTTACGGCTAGTGGTGCCTTCTATCTTTATTCAACGGTTTCTCCATGCCTACCATGATTTTCCTGTTCTATAGGACATCGTCATATGACTGAGAAGTTACGCAAGTTTTTCTATTAGCCAAAGATGCGATGTGATATTATCCGGTATGTGCATAGTTGCATTTGGTGCCAAGCTCATAATACTCCCCCTCATGCCGCGGATGGATGGTTGGAGTCAATTGTAGTTTCCCGTCTATTTGAGTTGGTGGCATTTAATCTTATGGGACCTTTTCCACAGTCGGCTGTTGGTAATGAATATGTTATTATTGCTTCTGACTATTTCACTCATTGGGTGGAAGTTGGTGTTTTGGCTAGTGCCTCTACAACTGCTGGATACTTCTTCCTCAATCGAGTGGTGTTCTAGCATTCTTGTTCGGAGTGAATTCTTTCAGATAATAGTCCTACATTTATAGTTGAGGCATTTCATGTTTTGACGTCTAGATTAGGGATATGCCACACTTTCACGAATGCTTATCATCCATAGTTAGACGGTTTGGTAGAACGGCTCGTTTGGACATTCAAAGGAATGATCGCGAAGTATATGAACTTTCAGCATTTGGATTGGGATGGTTATTTGCCATCTCTTTAATATGCATATGTTATAGGGGTGCAGAGTTCTGTTAGTGCTTCACTATATAAACTCCTGTATGGTCATGGTTCAATATTACTAATGAAGCTGGGTTTACCTTTCGCGATTGTCACAAGCTGCCAATGCTAAATTGTGGGATTAGTATTTGATGAGCATTCTTCTACTTGTCTGAGCAGAGTCTGCCGAACACTTAGGCCATGTACAAGTGGGAAAACAACGGCGTTACAACTCCCATCATCGTCCATTTGCAAAGTACAAAGTGGATGACTTAATGTTACTCTGTTTTCTCTATCTTATGGTACATGATTTATCTAAGGGGCTCCTTGCTCAGTGGAAAGGACCATATTGGGTGTTATAGCAAGTTGGACCACAAGTTTATGAAGTTAGGCATGACATCCAGCAAACCGATCCTCTAGAAATTGTGCATATATAGCGGTTGAAATGTTTGGTGTGCTTGGCTGCTTGTGCCTGCAAGGAATGTAGCCGAACCTTAAGTCTAGTTTAACCCAGGGAAGGGGATTGAGAGAGATTGGGAATTTGTGGATGGATGCCTAGCGCTCCGTTGCTTGTGCAATGAGTAGCTGAAACTAAGTAGGACCAAGTAAAAGCTGGTACAATAAGTGAAAACTTTGGCGAAGGAATTTAATTAAGACGAAGGCGGTATTGGTTGGATAAACGAGGTAAGCTGGCAAATTGGAAAGGAAAAATTGATGGCTTACACTACTATAGCATAAAGATAACCAAGTCATTGTAACATATTTCATATTAAAATAAATATTTAGAGCAATTTATTTTTTATAACCATATCATATGATAAATTTCAATAAGATTTGTTGTTAATACTTGTGGAGCAAGTATGTGAAAACTCACTTGTGCACATCATGGTGTTTAACTTGAATACATTTCTCTGTGCATTCATGTAAACTTATTTCCCAATGGAAAAGGTAACTCCTCTCTCAGCTAATTAAAACTTTGTTTATACCACCATTATATAGAATTCTAATACCTCACCAATTTATTTATGCTTTATTACTGATGAAACTATAAAATGTCCTATTCCAACTTGGTATATATTGTTTAGTAGTGTTTAAAAAGAAATTTAAAATGGCAGCTCTTTCAAATAGCTATCACCATCAAGGATTATGCTCTATATAAAATGATTTGTTAATACAAGGAGCTAGTAAATAGTAAGCCAAGGGAGTGGACAAGAATATTTTGACACACTGAAGAATATTCTATTAAGGTTTTAGTTGCATACAGTTTTATTAATAATATTTGAATAAAATTAGTAATTTAAGTAATATTTAAATCTGTTACCACCATCTAATTTTTGTGGCAGAGGTTTTGTGTTATCACAATAATTTATACTAATTGTTTAAGTATATATTTATATTAAGTTAATACAATACCAATGTCTATTTTTTTCACCTTATGTTTAAACATTATGATGAATCCAAAGTTTAACATCCTATACAAAGGATGAAAAAATTTCAAAATTTAATGTTAAAAGAAGTATTTGCAATTGCAACTTGGGAATTGGTTGATTATGATGTCGGGAGGCTCAATTGGATTCAACCGAAACGAGGGTGGTGGCGATGGTGGCAATGGTAACGCGATGGAGCAAACGACCTGGTTGATGTGAGCAACAAGGTGACATGCAGTGGCTTCCTTGGCCCAACCAAGAGGATGATGGACATAAGCCTCGAAGATCTCTCCCGCTACTTCACCATGCTGATCACTCAGGCGTCCAAGGAGCTCAAAGTCAGCCGCACTGTGCTCAAGAAGCGGTGCTGCGAGTTTGGGATCCCCCAGTGGCCTCACCGCAAGCTCAAGAGCCTCGAGAGCTTGATACACAAGAGCCAGGTTAGTGTTCTTTCTTGGTTGAAAGTTCTTCTGTGAACTTCTGGCTTTACTTGCCAGGAGTTAGCCAAGGATTCGGATGGAAACGCTCCAAACCCAGTGATCCATGAGCTGGAGAAGCAGAAGAAGAAGATGGTGGAGAGCCCGGGGATGGAGCTGGATGATCGAACCAAGTGGTTCTGCCAGGCAATCTTCAAAGCCAGCTACAAGCAGCGGCAGCGAGGGGTAGCTCCCTGTAGAAACGGTGGCAGCGGTGGTGGAAACTCTGATTCTTCCCACAACGATGGATCCACGGAGCAGCAGCAGTGAAAAAATTCAGGGGCTCCCTTTAGTCCAAAGGTGACCATTTTGTGACCATTTTTTTTCTTGTTTTTTCCTCCCCTTCAAGCTAACGGCAGCAAAGCTTTGGAATTTCGCAAGGAAGAGAGATCAAACCATGCAGTCGATCATAGAGAAGAATTTTTGTTCGCCTCTAATTTTTAACCAAACGAGAGAGAGAGAGAGAGAGAGAGAGAGAGAGAGAGAGAGAGAGTTGGCTGTGGCGGGAACAAGGAAGTGTGCCCTAATTCGTTGTAAGAGGAAAGGGTTCGGTTTTTTCTTGCGCGGTCGATCAATCAATCGGTGGCTACCTATGAGATCGGCGAAGAGGAAGATCGTGGAGCAAGAGCATGAGTATGAGCAGCAGCAGCAGCAGAATGGACAGGTGGGTGAGGATCGTCATGAAAAGGATCTGGTGAGGAGCACCAAGCGGAAGAAGGCCTATCCCCAGCTCCGGCACTGCCTGGTCGAGGAGAGCTTGTTCCAAGACCTCGATCACAGCGAGGATGACGACCGGAGCTCCGGCGACGACGTCCAGCGGGCCGGGGGATGCAATGGGTTGTATGCGCTGAGGGCAAATCCTAAGAAGAACCTCAAGTTTGCGGAGGAGCAGATCAAGAAGAAGAAACTGAGCAGCAAGGGCAAGGATCACGAGTGCCCAGAGTGTGGCAAGGAGTTCGTATCGATCAAAGGGCTGTCGGGACACATGCGATGCCATCCGGAGTCGCGGATCGCGAGGGCCGCCGCCGCTATCGCTCCGCGCAGCCCCGCGAAGATCAAAATCAAGGAGGTGATCGAGGAGCCCGACTACGAGAGCGACACGAGCCTGGAGCAAGTCTATCTCCGGCACTGGGCCAGGGAGGAGGAGGAAAAGAAGAAAAAGATGGGAGCTTTGATGGAGGAAGAGGGGGAGGAGAATTCTTCCAAGGTTGTGATCCATGACAATCCATTGCCGCAGTGGCAACCATTGAAGATTAGGGATCTCGTAAAGGGGATGGTTGCCGTCTTGAATCGACTGGGGGAGCGGCGGTTGTCGAGTGCTCCCGTTGTAAGCTCGCGTTTGAATCGAGCACAGCACTGGCCGCCCACCACTGCGTGAGGAAGATGTCGCGCAAGAGCAAGATCATCAGCACCAAGATCAAGGACGCCTTGCCCAAGTTGCCCCCCAGCAACGGCGATCCAGGCGTGGTCAACGTGCCCGTTGACATTATTGCTGACCGCGTTGACGAGGAGGACGAGGTGGTGTACGTTGACAAGGGGTTGACTGGAGGTTTTAAGTGCCTGAACTGCCACCGGGTTTTTGCGACCGGCCCTTGCGGTCTAAAATGCTTTGTGTAACTTTAATTTCTGTAAAACCTCTTGCCAACCTTTTAGGGTTCTTCAACTTCTACTCATAATAATATTTAAATTCGCCTAAATATAAAACAGCTTAAACAAATTATAAGATTATTTCTTAAACATTTTCTAGAATTTAAATAGCTTCTTCTTACACGACCAATTTACGTATAATCTCCATTATGAATTCTCCCATTTACAATATCACTTTCTTAACTGAAAACTATATACTTGTGATTATGGTATTGTTGATTGATATTCATATTTACTTTTTAACTATATTGCCTTTGAATATATTGTCTTTGCTTTCTTTGACCAAGCATTTATAATCTTCATATGTTTGGTGTTTCTCTTCCACTAATATGAAATCAGGAAAGATTTAAAGAAGTTGAATTGTAATTATGACGTTTGTATATTTGTATAGGGCATGGTTGAAAGAAGAATATAACATCTAATCTACAACAAAACATTGGAAAAACGTAAGTCCCATGTTTTTATATCGGTTTAATGATATAAGTTCTAGTATATTCTTTTCTATTCTACTATTGATATAATCTTGATTTATAAATTATAAATATGTTTATCAATATTGCTCAATTAAATTATTACTACTATCAAGTAAACCAAGAAAATTATTTATGAGATAAGTATTTTCTCAAATATTTTTATCTCTTCACCATGGTGTGCTAGCTAAGATCCTTTTGCTTGTTTTCAGGTTGTTTGGGTTTGATTGACGGCTCCATCAACCTTGCATCACACACTTTCCTCACAAAGTTTACCAACAAGCTCCTGAGAAAAGCTTTTCTCTCATTTTGATTAAGTTCTTCGGAATTAAAGCATATTCCTTCTGTGATACGATGGAGTTCCCTCGTTCTGACACAGCACTCCTAGTTCTCAGGCAACTCCCAAGCACCTAAATGAAAAGTAACCTTCCAAGGCAACATGAGTGTAATACCCTCTCCACAATAAAATTGTATGTCCATTCCCATCCCTGAAATAGCATGTCATTAATGAAAAAGTCAAAAGAATATGTGTAAGGAGATAAGCTCCAAAGCTTCCACAACTTTTCATTGCCAAGCTTCAATTTCCTCAAAACAGCTTAAAGATAGGGACTTCTAACTAGCTTGACCATCTTGGCCTAAGAATCGCGTAAACTAAATACCTTGTGAAGGTTATAAAACAAAACAAAAAAGCTATGAACTAGTGAAAAATTATAATACCTATGACCATCATGCTTCGTAGGGCACTCTCCAGTTACTCCAAATGAGTAGTGCAAGAAGAAGTGTGTCATCGTGACAGTGACACCAGAGTACTTCTGAACTTGGGGCGGAAAACTTCTCGAATGGCAGGCATGTCTCTACACTGAGCGAGCACGTGAGTAGTGGATTCCGTCCAGATTTCTCTCCTGGATCTGCGAGTGGAGCCTCTTCTCTGCTAAGTCGCCGCGTGCCTTGAGCGCCACCATGAAAAGTCTGAGCGTTTGGCTGCCGGTTTGCTCGTAGCGCTCAAGAGCAAAGGTTGTTCTCGGCATATCCCAGGAAATGATGTTTTGCTGCTCCATACAAAGTCTCAGCGTTTGGAGGCAGGCCAGCTTCTCGTTGCATCTGATAGAAGACGTGCATGTCCCATGATGATCGTGTTCCAGGCAACCAACGTCATGTTTATTTGTCCTCCTCAACACTTCTGATGCTTCCACATGTCCACGAGGCTGCTTGCGACGAATGCATCGGCTTTGTATTCACAATTTGCGAGGTAGCCCAACCTATCCTGTTCTTCGTCCCATCCTGTTGAACAACCTGTGTTGCAAGCCGCAGTGTAGACTTCGACCATACTTTCACAATTGCACTTGCTTGATTCCCGGCTTATGATGCTCTTGACTCTGGAGAAACTTATCTGGCTGCTATGCCCTGCACTGCTTCTTCTCATCGAAGTTGAGATTTGAGCGCCTGCAAGAACAGAGAGCAAAAGTAGTACATTACCTTTTCTCAAACCTTTCGTCTCAAGCAACTTCTCTGGCCTTTGGAGGCTGCTCCCCCGTCACTCTAGAGGATAGCTCAGTCAAATTGAAACTTGGTAGGTTCTTGCTCTGTGGAAACCCAGTCCATTTTCCCAGCCAGCTGTGGAATAACTTCCAAGTCTGGTGACTTCCACCAGTCGACCCTTGTATGTGATCTTCACCGTCCGTGAGCAAGAGCCTGCTGTCTTCTTGCTCTGCAACTTCATCTCCTTGAAGATTGTTTGTACACAATCTTCCATGTGACAACGCATGCAACATAGCTGACTTACGCGTCACTGCCAGTGTTGGCAGGACACTTAGAGGAGAATCCCAGAGTGCCATTGCTGTGCGAACCACGAGTGTGAGCTTCCAGCTGTTTCTTCTCAGTTGGAGGATCGTCCACTACAACTTCGATCTGCCACCCGGGATCCTGAAAGATCGCATTACTGCGCTGCTTCCTTCGAGATAACATCCATCGCACGAGCAAAAAGCACGCGAGCAGCACCAAGATCGCAACCAAAACCCAGAGAAGAAGCTGGAGCAGCGACCATGGCGTCCTCCGAACCACTGTAGCTACTGCTGCGGGTGTTGGTGTGGCCACTGCTGCGTCGTGACCGTCGCGACGATGGTGGTGCTGGTGGTGGTTGTGGTGGTGGTGGTGGTGGTGGTGGTGGTGGTGGTTGTGGCGTCCTCCATGGTGGTGGTGGTGGTTGTGGCGTCCTCCACGGTGGTGACCACCATGGTGATGGTGGTGAACAACCAGAGGAGCTCCATCACCGTGATGATGATGGTACACTGCTGCTGCTGGAGCTGGATGGTGGTGGCGAGCATGATCAAGGATAGCAGGCGCTGGAGCTAGATGAGCAGGGTGGCCGCGAGCAGGGTGAACAAAAGCAGCTGGCGCTGGGGCTCGAACTGGAGCGTCACCTTGAAGAACTGGAGCTAAAGCTGGCGCTGGCTCGTGGCCTCCTCGAGGATGGTGTCCATGGTGGTCTGCTCGATGTGCTGGAGCTAGAGCTGGAGGTCGCGGGTGTGAAGGTCGGTGATGGCCGCCATGCCAGGGCGCTGGAGCTCGGCGGGCAAGCGTTGGGGCGGCGTGAGCGCGAGAGACCATAGCTTACCTGACGAGAGCTTCGACAATAGAAAAATCCAAGCGAGAAAGATTATAACCTAACCCTTGACTACTTTTGGTTTTAACGAGTAGCTGGTGACGCTGTGGATTGTCAGACTTGAACGCGGGAAAAAGAAACACAAGATAAATATCTATCCATTGCTGTTTTGATATTCTCACGGTGCAACATTGATATTGATCCACAGCTCCTCCAGAGTAAAATCGGTCAAAACGCCTGGAACGATCCAACAATCGAACATATTTGGAGATGCTTGTGTCGATCCCAAAAATCCAATTCTAGTACTCATCCTGGCATTTCAAGAGCTTTTTAAGAGATGAGGTTTGGAAGGTTTCTACTCCTTGCAAAGCTGTTCCAGATCATACCAATTTGATTTATATTGTGTTGGTTTTACCAATTGCTTTACTCATCCTCTTGAATAACAGTGCAAAGCAAAACACTAGCCTTGTTCCTTCTCCTCTAGTGAATATTATTACTATAGTATGTAGAAACTAATCATTAAAAGCTTGCTAGGTGATGTACAATCTGCT